TTATTAACCAGATTAGGAAGGCAGCAGGAGAGCAGAGCTGGACCCAGTACGGCGTTTAATGCCCAGCAGGAGCACGGGGTATCGCTGCTCCCAGACGCTTCTTCCAGGAATTCACAGTCCTCTGGCTTCTGATCCTGCCACGGGCTGAAAATTCCCTATTGAAAATGCTCGTGTGTGTGTATACACGCACATACATACACACACACACATATAAATACACAAATAAATGCACAAGCTGCTGATTCTTGCACACAATTTCAAGAAATACCTGAAATATTTCAGGTAGCCAACACAGAGCCAACATTTAAGTCCTACAGAAGCCAGAGGCGGGCTACAGCAATGAGGCAGGCAATGTTTTTTTTGATACAGGATGATATTGTTTCCCAAAATGTATTCTTTTATATCCCAAACAAACTGTTTAAGATCCCAATTCTGCAAATTCAGCAAGCAGAAAAGTAGCTGCAAAAAGAGAATTAGAGAAGCACTGGATTTGAATAGAGAGGGAAGATGACACGGGTAGAAGGGGAACGATGCTTCTGGAGAGGTGAGGGGAAGCTGTGGGATCAGTTCACACATCTTCTAAAACCACCACCTTTAAATAATCTTCCAGAAGCAACACAGGGCATACTGAAATGTTAACAAAAAATTGTTTCAAGTCTACAAGAAGGAAACACAAGTTGTGTTCAGTGAGGTCATGGAGGTTGAGTCAGAAAAGGTCCCATCAAGCCCAGCATCCCCTCTCCAGCTGCAGCATAGGAGCATTCTCAGCAGTATCATCCCCTCAGTACCCACACTGCCTCTCAGTACCCTTGGTCTTGTCTTCTTCATGCCCAGGAGCTGGACACCCACCTGTATTGGGTTTGTATGGCAAGGTTTTGGCGGTGGGGGGCTACAGGGGTGGCTTCTGTGAGAAGCTGCTAGAAGCTTCTCCTGTGTCTGATAGAGCTCACTTCAAGACAGACCCAACGCTGGCCAAGGCCAAGCCAACTGGTGGTGATGGTAGCGCCTCTGTGAGAATGTATTTAAGAAGGTAGGGAAAAAACCCAACATGTGGATCAACAACTGGAGAGAAGAGTGAGAATAGGTGAGAGAAATAACTCTGCAGGCAGCAAGGTCAGTGAAGGAGAGGCAGGAGATGCTCCAGGAGATTCCCCTGCAGCCCATGGTGAAGACCATGAGGAGGCAGCTGTCCCCTTGCAGCCCATGGAGGTCCATGGTGGAGTAGAGATCCACCTGCAGCCCATGGAGGCTGGAGCACGTGGAATGCCCAAAGGAGGTTGTGATTCCATGGGAATCCTGTGCTGGGGAAAGCTCCTGGCAGGACCTGTAGACCCATGGAGAGAGAGGAGCCCATGCTGGAGCAGGTTTGCTGGCAGGACTTGTGATCCCATGTGGGACCCACGCTGGAGCAGTCTGTTCCTGCAGGACTGCACCCCATGGAATGGACCCACACTGGAGCAGCTTGTGAAGAACTGCAGCCCATGGGAAGGACTCACGTTGGAGAAGCTCATGGAGAGCTGTCTCCCATGGGAGGGACCCCCACACTGGAGCAGGGGAAGCGTGTGAGGAGTCCTCCCTATGAGTAGGAAGGAGCAGCAGAGACAACGTGTGATGAACTGACCACAACCCCCATTCCCTGTCCCGCTGTGCCTCTGGGAGGGAGGAGGTACAGAAAATCAAGAGTGAAGCTGAGCCCAAGAAGAACCAAGAAGGGGGGGACAAGCAAAGTTTTAAGAGTTAGGTTTTTTATTCCTCATTACCCTACTCTAATTTGATTGGCTATTTCTTAATTTGATTGCCATTTATTAATTGATTTCCCCAAGTCAAGCCTGTTTTGCCCATGACAATAGCTGGTGAGTGATCTCTCCCTCTCTTTATCTCAACCCATGAGCCTTTGGTTATACTATCTCACTCCTGTCTGAGCCAGGCACTGTTTCTGTCACTCACCACCTCCAGTTACGTCTCATGTCCCCTCTTACAGCACTTAACTTTTTTACAACCTTCCCCAGCAAGCTCCAAAGATTTATTACTGGCTCAGCGAATGGGTTTAAATCTGAATTAAATGCACTGACCGCAGCATCCAAAAACTTGGTTAAGTTTGTTTCTTGCTTGTATTTAAAGGTCTTTTTATCAACTGCTGCAGAGAACAGTTGCCTGTAGCCCAGGAAACACTGAAAACCCGTGAATAATCTCAGAAGTGACACATTTAACCTCTTCTTCACCCAAAGGACAATGTCTGCTTAGTAAAGCCTAACATTTTGGCAGGGGTGCTCTCCTCTGAAGGGAACCCTGCCAGCTTTTCTATATGCATGCAAACAGAAGCCATTCATTCATTTTCATCTCTTTCTACACCCTGCATAAATAAAAGTACGTAACATGGAGCGCTGGGTTTTGGAAATCCACCCCTTTGCCTGCCTCTGACAACACTGGTTGGTAACAAAACCTGGGGTATGTGATCTTAAAAGACAGTTATTCCTGCCGTGAGAAGAAATGGCTTCAGAAATAAAAATATTAAGGCAAAATTGTCTATGACCATGAACCACCAAGATGCACAAGGCAGCTGAAACCATTCGCACTTGCTCAGGAAAGAATCAACCTCTCTAATTTTCAGGTTGGGATTTCAACAGAACTGAAGAAGTCAGATGTCTTAATTCCTACCAAAAGCAGTGAGATCTTTAAGCCTCTATCCCTTTTATATCACCAATCAAATCTAAACCTATCACAGAACCAAATGCAAATAGTAATAAAAGGAGTAAATATATTTTCTGATTTATTTAAGAAAGGTACCACATCCCTTCTGGAGAGGTAGGTGCTGTCACCCCAAGAAAATAATTAGCAACAATCAGTACACACTACAAGAAAAAGTCAACTTCAATGTAAACATCAAGGAGAACACAGGACTGGTGTAAAGCAGGGCAAGTGTAAGGGTTTGAAAATGTATTCTAAAAAATATACATATGTGCCCAGAAAGGAAGAACAGAAGCAAAAAAAATGCAGAACGAAGGAAATGTGGTGATTAAAACACTCAAAATGGTCGATCTGCAAAAGTAAAACCTCTCTTTGCTTATTTACTTTCTAAATTAACAAACCAGAGCAGTTGAATTTGAGAGTCACACCTTCAACCGACACAAACCAGCGCCACAGGAGCGCGGTTGACTCAGCAACAGGCCCTGGCAGCAGGGAAGCGTTGCACATAAACACCAGCGTAGGCTCCCTGCAGCAGGACAGGGTTTGTTTGATCTGGCTGCTGTTTCCAAACAGCACAAGATTCATCTCCCAGAGTCGCGCTGGCACCGCAGCCAACTCCGGGTCCATGTATTTAGCACCGATCCAATAGTAAACACTGTGTAGAGCCTCCTCGGGTCCTGGACAGCCTCCACAAGCCGACTGGAGATGCTCGGGGTGTCAAACAAAGCCACCCCTGTCACTCCAGGACTGGTGATGGCTTCGTTGTCATTCATGGTCTCAACGTGAGGAGCTTTGCCAGCAGCACCCCAATGTTCTCCGTGGTAGTGACCAGAATGGGGAATCAGGAGTTTCCAGACAATCAATTTAACTGCTTAACCACCACAATAGCGACCAAGACATCCTGCTGAGATATGCCAGGATAATCTTCCAACTGGAAACAGAGCCAAAGACATCTGAAACCTCTCCAGACCTGACTACACCCAGCCTTTTAGCTCAGGAAGCTCCACAGATGCATTCTTTGAAAAAAACAAGCAAGGAACACCACAATTTCAACCTTGATGACAAACTTATCACCTCGAATGAATACAGCCAGAAATACTCACTGGAGAGCTTGACTCCAGCAGAAAGCTACTCCAGAACGAGATTTCCCCTTGGGTCTACACAAGGTATATAAATTTCTATGGGTTTTCATGTGTCTGCTGTCATTCTCTGTAAGGAAGGCACACAATGCTGTTGAATGCTGTTTACTGTAATCACATTGACTTTAATTAGGTTTCCAGAGCTAACATTTGCATCCCAAACAGAAAACAGCCTGGTACGGCTGAGCGAAGGAGAATGGGAAGGATAGGAGACTGAAACAGAGGAATTCCTTAGAGGAATTTCCTATCAATAGTAGGTAAGTGACAGGTCACCCTTTCCTCCCTTTAACCCAAAGGAAAAAGGAAAAAGGAAAAAGGAAAAGGAAAAGGAAAAGGAAAAGGAAAAGGAAAAGGAAAAGGAAAAGGAAGGGAAAAGGGAAAGGGGAAAAGGGAAAAGGGAAAAGGGGAAAAAGAGAAAAGGGAAAAAAGAGAAAAGAGAAAAGAGAAAAAAGAGAGAAAAGAGAAAAGAGAGAGAAAAGAGAAAAGAGAGAAAAGAGAAAAAAGAGAGAAGAAAGAGAAAAGAGAAAAGAGAGAAAAGAGAAAAGAGAAAAGAGAAAAGAGAAAAGAGAAAAAAGAGAAAAGAGAAAAGAAAAAAGCAGCTTTTTCAAGACCTCATTTTCACTCATTTGTCTAAAGAACCTGCAGATATTCATCACAGCTAATTTGAAAACAGATTCATATTTGTCCTAAATTAGGAAAGCATGTCCAAAAATAGAATTTACAGTACCATAAATTTAAAAAGCTGTTGAAAAATCAAGACAGAGCAGAAAAAGGCTGAAAGGCACAGGTTACCCATGGCTCTCCCTGTAAGTATCAGTAATACCTCGTGCTTCTGTAAATGAGTGAAAATGAATTGCTTGCTTGTAAATTAACAACGCTAATGTGCTGCTAGGAATAAATTGAAGTTGGAATAATATCCTCCCAGTGTGACCACAAACCTAATTTCCCTATTTAGTAGGAAGGAGAAAACGCCTTGCACTAGAAAAAGTCTTTCAGTAGCACTGCCGACCTAGGGACACGGGGCTGATGTTTGTAAAGCACTTAAATGATGTCAAATGCTATTTATATATCAAGTATTACAACCCCACATGATTTATATGGTTTATATTATTAACTAACAATACAACTATGCCTTGTCACCTGGTATAACGCACACAGGCAAGCAGCAGAGAAAAAGAAGAAATGAAACTGTAAATGGTACCTATTTCCTAGCTCTTTTACTAGACCAGGAATGATTTCAGACATTTCTACACATACCCAACTAATGCCAGGAATCAGTGCACTCCAGTCTGCTTTTATACAGCAGAAAGTTCCGCTGCCTTAAAAAACGTATTACTATATACGTGTAGAAATTAGCTTTGGATATTTAATACCTACTGTATACAGCAGACTTCTGTACCACCAAAAATACTTCCCTGGCATGCTTTTGAGTCCTGCCCAATTCCCTGTAACTCTTACATACCTGGCCCATTCATCAGGTGGAAAGCAGTGTTCAACTTCTGGCTACCTGGAAGTTGATCAGATTCAGTACCGTGTACACCAGCTCTGCTCCAGACCAGCCACAGCATCTGCTACCTTTGTCCAGACACTGGGTCAACATAAGGCAGGTTTAAAGAAAAAAGTTGGAAGACAGACTTCACAGAAGCATAGAATCGTTACAGTTGGAAAAGAACTTTAAGATCATTGAGTCCAACCATCAAACCAGTCCCAAGTCCTCCACCAGACCATGTCCCTAAGCACAACATAGACTCGTCTTTTAAACACCTCCAGGGATGCGGACTCCACCACCTCCCTGGGCAGCCCCTTCCAGTGCTTGACAAGCCTCACAGTAAAGAAATTCCTCTTAGTATCCAACCTAACTTTCCCCTGGCACAACTTGAGGCCATTTTCCCTTGTTCTGTCACTGGTTACATGGAAGAAGAGACCAACCCCCACCTCTCTACCCCTTCCTTTCAGGCAGTTGTAGAGAGCAATAAGGTCTCCCCTCAGTCTCCTCTTCTCCAAACTAAACAACCACAGCTCCCTCAGCTGCTCCTCATCATTCTTGTGCTCCAGACCCTTCCTCAGCTTCCTTGTCCTTCTCTGGACACGCTCCAGCCCCTCAATGTCCTTCTTGGAGTGAGGGGCCCAGAACTGAACACAGGATTCGAGGTGCGGCCCAATCAGTGCTGAGTACAGGGGCACAATCACTTGCCTGCTCTGCTGGCCACACTATTGCTGATACAAGCCACGATGCCATTGGCCTTCTTGGCCACCTGGGCACACCGCTGGCTCATGTTCAGTCACTGTCGACCAACACCCCCAGGTCCTTCTCCTCCAGGCTCCTCTCCAGCCACTCGTCCCCAAGCCTGTAGCGCTGCATGGAGTTGTTGTGACCAAAGTGCAGGACCCAGCACTTGGCTTTGTTGAAGCACATACAGTTGGCCTCAGCCCATGGATTCAGCCTGTCCAGGTCCCTCTGCAGAGCCTTCCTACCCTCAGGCAGATCAACACTTCCTCCCAACTTAGCGTCATCTCCAAAAGTCCTGAGGGTGCACTCGATTCCCTTCTCCATGTCCTTGACAAAGATACTAAAGAGAAATCGCCCCAGTACTGAGCCCTGGGGAACATCACTTGTGTCAGCCTGCACAACGATGCAGCTAACTTGAACTGATCTGGATTAAAAACCAAGACCAAAACAATCATTCATTTTAATTTAGGACCGAGTTTGCCAAACAGTCCCAACACCTACACCAGCAGAACTATGATGGCAGGATGAGAAATCAACCAGCGAGAAGGAAGCTGGCACTGCTGGTTTGTCTCCCTGGGATGTCATTTGAGTTGGAGACTGACTCCATTGCTCCACTACAAACTGGATCTCCAAATCCTCAGGTGTCCTGTGTTACTGGGTAAAATATAGCGCAGAAATATCCACCAAAGCTCAGGAGCATAATGCAGACCAACCTGGAAGGAATGGAAATACCACAAGGACAGCAAGCTAAAAAATAACCAAATAGAGACACTGCAGGGTGGACTGAGACATGCAAACTGCATATGACTATAAGGTGAGACGCAAACAGGAAAAAAGTGAGCAAAAACCACCAACACAGTGATGCAGTTTAATAAACTGCTTTAGTGATGTCTTGGCCGATTGTGCTTCAGCCCTTCTCCTTCTAAAAGCTCAAAATTGGGAACTGGCTGGAATAGACAATTTTCCATCCCTGCACCCATGCCTTCTACCTAAGGAAAATCAGATTCTGCAGGTGGGCGGAGAAACTGATGGGTTTGCTCTGGTCTTTTTTCCTGATGTAGGGATGGGACACAGCCAAGGCATGCCCCTCAACTTCAAACTCTTTCAGGTCCCTCAAATTAGCTATGTCCTTATCCTTAGCCAATGATGAGCTTTCTTTCTTCAGCTTTATGAGTTCTCATTCTGTCAACATTAAAGCAGCCAACATTTCAGGGTGGGTTTGCAGAAAAAAAGGGGAGACATCTGAAAGATGAACAGTGTAAGAGCCCCTGAACCTGGATCTTTATTTGTCAAAGACTTCTAATCATGCTTCCCTCTAACCTAAAAATAAGGTCAAAGCTGGCAGCTAAGAGTTTTAATGCTATCTCTACCCATTTTATGTTTTAGTCGGCTAATCTTACCAAATTGGAAAAAACCAAACCTGTGTAAGAATCAAGGTGCAATGCAAGGTCTGGCAGTAACCAAGCTTGAGATTTCTGGTTGTTATTTCCAGAGCAACAAAGCTGGTGAAGGGTCTGAAGCACAAGAATTATGAGGAGCAGCTGAGGGAGCTGGGGTTGTTTAGTTTGGAGAAAAGGAGACTGAGGAGAGACCTTATCACCCTCTACAACTGCCTGAAAGGAGGGGGTAGAGAGGTGGGTGTAATAACTGATAGGACAAGAGGAAACGGCCTCAAGTTGCACCAGGGGAGGTTTAGGTTGGGTATTAGGAAAAATGTCTTTACTGAAAGAGTGGTCAAGCCCTGGAATGGGCTGCCCAGGGAGGTGGTGGAGTCCCCATCCCTGGAGATGTTCAAGAAGCACCTGGAGGTGGCACTTCAGGACATGGTTTAGTGGGCATGGTGGGGTTGGGCTGATGATCTTAGAGCTCTCTTCCAACCTTAATGATTCTGGGATTTCCACATACAGGATATCATCTTTACTTCTCACACCTACTATTCAAGATTCAACGATAAGTTTTGAGGGCCACAAGTTTCATTTCTCTATCAGCTGCAGTTGTTACAATCCTGCTTCAAGCACATCTTCTGAAAACAGCAAGGTGAGTTACTTGCAGCGACTGATCCTGATGTGGTGACAGTGTTTCCTTTCAGACTGCACTTGAGACCAAACAAATTCCAGCTCAGCAACATCCACCCACCTGCACTCCACATCTGAGGCTGTGGACAGGGCAGAGCACGCCCTGCATCCTCCCCAACCCCAAAGCCTGGAAGCCCTCTTCGTGAATATGCACGTAGACAACACATCCAAAGACACACCAAGATAAATAGGGAAGATAAACAACCTTTCCTCTAGCGAATGCATGGCTATATATGTATTTCAGGAATACGTGTATA